AGTTCCTCATATTTGGGTTTTCATAAGAATTGTCAGCCAAATAATAATAATACAAAAATAGGTCAAAATTAATCGAAAATTTATATTAAATATTAATTCTTAATCAAGAATTGACATGCAGTTAAAGATTGTATTCACCTGTTAAATAAACTGAATAAAAATATATTTAAATATTGAATTGTGTTGTGAGAGACAATATAACTTGAGATCTAGTGGTTATGCGTTTGAATATCTACTTCACACGAGTGGTGTGTTTGTAGTACACTATCCATCGGCACATTATTTTCAGAGACTTGCTTTTGTTGCCATTTCTCAGACATTATCTCTCGTTTAAAACTAATGAAACATTTAATGCAATTGTGATAATATATGTCAGATTAGTATAAATATTTGGGTTTAGATAATCACACGATGAGAGAGGCTTTGCATTGCATCAAACATTTCACAAACAATGGCTTAAAAAATGAATAATTCCTATAAATAAACTATAAATCAGATAAAAGCTCTAATCCTTTCCGCACTTGAAGTTCAATATATTCTCATTTTCTTTGAAACTTAGCAATTTACTGGCGTATAATCTGTAATTTATGTGTAATTTACATAATAAATAACGTAAACTTTATTAAATAATTAATATAATAATATTATGAACACCAAAACAAATACAAACCAACATTTTTTTCTTCATTTCTATTTTTGTTATACTTTATAATACTTTATATGTATATTATTTAGTAAAATAATATTTATAGTCAACTACAGAAAGAAAAAGGAGAGAGAGAGAGAGAGAGAGAGAGAGAAAGAGAGAGAGAGAAAGAGAGAGAAAGAGAGAGAGAGAGAGATTTAATAGTAATAAATAAAAGTAACTGAATATAACAGTAGTTGGTATTATTTTGACATCCGTAAATATAATTATATTATTTATATTATACTTTAGTACGTTAACCAAACCTATGCTTGTAACTTCAGCCTTAAATCAATTCCAATCCGCAATCTATTCCATAATAAAATTATATTATTGTATTGTATAATAATTTTAAAAATAAATGGTAATTAAAATTTGAAAATTCTATCAAAACAATTAATTTTCTCACAATTTTCCTTAAACTCTTGAAGTGTTTTGTTTTATTTAAAGAGATAGTAAACAATATTTTCGAAATTAATATGAAAAATGATAATTGGGTTCATAATTAAAGCAATTGAGTACAAATAAATTCAGTGCAAACAAAATGTCCCAAATTGTTTCAACAGTTTTCCATACAAAAGCAAAGTTTTCATACAAAATATTTTTATTAGTTTTAATGCGAATATAATGAATAATCTTCAGATAAATCATTTTATATATCATAATCATTTGTGTTTACAAAAACAAACTTTAATTAATTCAATGAGTTTTATGTTCAAAATGTCTTTCAATTATTGTATAAAGAAAATTGAATTATGAATGAATATAAATGACTTCTTAAGTATTGAACAAATTGTGAACTAAATTTCATTTAATAAAACACAACAGTATTTGTTTAGGTGGTTTTTAATAATAATAAAACTTTAAACAAACATTAAATTAAAATAATGATTGAATTTTTTCGATACAATTATTTGGTTTCAAATTGGGATCAATTTTCTTATATTCTTTAAACCAGATATTAAAATTATTTAATGACTTAAATACAACTTTTTATTTTTATACTACTTTAAAAGCAAATCAATGTTTTACTTATAATTAAACTGCATTCAAGTGTTATATAAAAAAATAATTTCGTTTAATTTATATGACTATTAGTTAGCTAGTCATTGAATGCATAATTATCTAATTGATTTGAAATCTAAATATAAATCATAATAGGGTTTGATTTATAATTAATAAAAAACAATAATAATAAAAACAAACAAGAATTCAATAAAACGAGCATTAGATGTGTGAAAGTTTGGAAAATAAATTAATTTTTATAACCAAATATCAAGTTGAAGCCTAATTTTAAGGTATAAATATAAAAACGAGTTCAAAGGTTTATAATACAGTTATATGCTTATAAAACTTTTTTATTTTCTTTTACAATCGACAAAAAATGAGTTAAATTTTCAATTTAATCGCTAAAAGAATTTTGTCTCAAATGAATTGACACACAATTTATTGGCTCATATTTGGTTTTAATTCAGTTAAAAATAGAAATTCATTAAAAGTTATAAATTTTATTTTTAAAAATCAAGTATTTTATAGAAAGCCTGCTAATAAATTTTACACATTTAATCAAAAAAGTTCAAATTAATAAAAACAAACAATAATATGTAATTAAATGTTTTAATGAATAAGAATATAGATTATTAGTTTAAGACAATTGGTAATTTTGGTAAAAAACGTTAAATAGGAGTAAAGATTACTATAATCGAAAACAAACTGAATAAAATAGGTAAACAAGGGATTATAGCCGCAGGTTAACTAACAGATCTGTCTTATAGGGTTCGAGTGCTTCTAAAGTACTGTTTCGTGACTTATGGAGTGATTGAACATTACTTTTGTACTCTTCCTGCCATAACTTCAGCTCAGAAAGCATTGAATCGATGTCTTCCTGAAGATAGTCTAATACTTTACCTAAAGGACTGGCCGTTTGGCTCAACGCTTGTATAGTTTGACGCAATTTCTCGATATCTCTATTCGTCTGTTTTGGTGTCTTTTTGTCATTATTTAGCACTTCCGACGACTGATTGCCTTCGAGTTCTTTTTTGGTCTCAACTAATTGCTTAACTAAACTACCCTTTTGTGTGTCATTACTGCCATCAAAGCCTAACTGTCCATTTGGTGCTTGCATTTGATCATCACTTATGACAGTCGATACAATAAACTCCTGGTCCTCATCATTAGCCAAGTTTTCAGTGATTAAGTTCTCGACTGGTTTTGCGTTCAGTAAACGCAACTTCTCCTCGAGTTCTATTGCATTTGATCATCACTTATGACAGTCGATACAATAAACTCCTGGTCCTCATCATTAGCCAAGTTTTCAGTGATTAAGTTCTCGACTGGTTTTGCGTTCAGTAAACGCAACTTCTCCTCGAGTTCTGCCTCAACGATCTGATTGTCTTCAATGGGTTTCGCTATAACCCTGGGAGGGGCCGGACGTGAACTACTGGGACGAGCGCTCCTCTCGTGACGCGTTGGCGGCCGGACTCCACTTCTTCTCATTTCTCTCTCTATTATAGCATTTCATAGAAATTATTACTATTTCTATAAAAACTAAAAATTTCTAAATTTCTAAAAATGCATTCTTTTAGGAGTTTTTTGTGAGCTTAAGTCAAAAACCTTTAAATAATAGCCCTTTTCAAAAGATATTCAAAACAATTAATCCTATTCTTTGAGTTCAAACTCTGGTTGCGTTAGAGTTAGTGATTGAATGACATAATACTTAAAACTAATAAATTATTGTAAAACTTTGTCTACGATTACCTGATCTCTGATTAGAATTTGAAGGCAAAACAGGATTAGTTTCAGTCATAGGCTTAGAAGAGTTGATGCGATCGAGTGGTAGGTTTTGTGCACCGATTCCCTCATTGTTTGTGTTGTCATTACTGGTCTCATCCCTGTCTTTGTGCACATTTCCATCATTAGAGTCATTATCTCTATTATCACTTTTGGGAGCGTTTGCGAAGTCAGGGGCAGGTATTGGCGAAGGTTTGTCTGGATTTCCGTTCGCAACACTTGAAGCCAACTCTGGTGTCGATTGTTTCGGCGAATTGTGTTTCGCTTTGTTAGTCGACATCAGAGGCGAAGTCTTCTCTTTCGCCTCATTTGACTCTTTTATGGCATTCTTTGCTGAAGTTTTCGTTTCTTTTGATTCTTTGCTCTCTTTTTTTGTTTTCTTGTTTGCATTGTTCGGAGTCTTTGTGCTCGCATTCAATGCTTTCTTTTTAGTGATATTATTATTATTATTACTATTACTCACGACTGGATTGTTAGGATTGTTAGAATTGTTAGGTTTAGTCTGTTTGGTCGGCTTCTCGCCATTCAATACCCGCACCACAGCGTCCGTCGAGTCCTTCTTGTCGATCACCGCTTTGGCCATCACTTGCAGCCACTCCAGGGTTTTGTCCACTTCTAGTCCGGCAACGATTTTCGACGGCTTTGCACTCAACACATCCCCCGCAATGAATCCTATCATCGGTTATGTCAGACATTAATCTCTTACTATATTCTGTGATATCATATGAATAGTAAAGTGAAAATATGTTGCAATCAAATGAAAATTATGCAATTCATTTAAATTCTCATTAATATGTGCCGAAAAACGTGAACCAAAATTAAAAAACAATTTAAATAACTATTAAAAGAGTAATTTACGGAGAAATACTCGTATTGAACATAATATGCAGTAATATAACGATAATAACCGGTTGTGTCGATGGCTTTCTGAAGGAATACCATTTTCGACTCCTTTTCCTTCACATTCTCAGCGATCAATTCATTGTCTTTATAGAGATCTTTGAGAAATCCATGACTTCTTATAATCTATTGCATATGTAATGAGAAAACAATAGACTGTATGTATTGGCAGCTAATATGCACTAGAATTGCATTTCATGCAGAATATGACAAATACTAACACTAGTGATGAGGTCGTGAAGGAATCTAAAGGGAGGTCTCCTCAACAGCTTGTCTGTGATGACCGGCTTTTTGACAATTTTGGTCAACACTTCTAAACTGGTTTTCACTAATTTCGGATCAATTTCTGAGGACATAATCGCTGGTTATACCAATTAATGTCACCAATGCTTGCAATAATTATGTTATAAAAAAGTTTGTTGTTTTCAATCACGAATAATGTGTTGCTATGGTTTGCTATAAATTAGTGCTGAATATTGAGTTATAGTTATTTCTTATTCCCTAATAAATCGATAAGTAATTCAATAATTATGACAATTGTTGCCATCAATTGCGGCAACAAATGTCATGTTTGATTCATTTGAATCAATTATGTAATCATGAATTAATTGTTTGCTTCACAAAGTTTTTGCCTATAATTTAGAGTTCAATGAATTCGTGAGTCTATTGAAAAGCAATGAAATGAACAGAACTTTCAATACTTTTGCAAAACTCGAGTCTATTCTGGAAAAACATTCACACTATAGATGCCATCTATTGGTCAACACTATTATGTAATACACAACACATTTACATACAGTGACGACAACATGAATGCAATGCATTGATAGCATAGTTACGCAATCATTGCTATACATATACACAGAGTTTGCATGAGTTTTGCTGAAGAATATGAAATTCAATACAAATGCCATAAATGGATGGGAAGTGTCTTAAAGTGTGACTTCTTTACCATTGAGCCATCGATTCGCACCAATGCCTCAGTTACAAGACATGAGTCCAGAATCGCAAGAATTGGAGTCCAGAGTGTTGTCACTGAAGGAGTCCGGCAACCAATTGGTCAAAAGCGGTGACCATTTCAATGCAATCCAAGAATATTCAAAAGCATTGGATTTAGTGGACAATTGTCTCAATAATAACACCAATGAAACAAATCGTGTCAATCTCTATAAGAACCTGAGTTTGTGTTATCTTAAGCTCGAAGACTATGACAATACCATCAGTTACGCCACCAAAGCGCTAGAAGTGTGTCCGCAAGACGTGAAGACTCTTCTGCGAAGAATTTCAGCGCTGGAAGCGATTGAACGCTATTCCGATGCCTTCAAAGACGCTCTCAATGTCCAACACTTGGAGCCAAACAATACTTACATCCAATCGGTTCTCAGAAGACTTAGCGTTAAGATCCAAGACATCGCTAAACAAAACTCAAGTACTTCTACACGACTGACACAAATGTTTGGATACTTGTCTGACGAGAGTGTCGAGTCTTCAAAGCGGATCCAATCGGCCAATAATCTGATGGTTTTGGTGAGAGACAAGTCGGCGAAGAAGATGTTTATTGAGAGCAATGGTCTGCAAGTGTTGGCGGATGTGTTGCGGTCTAAATGTGATCTTCAAATCAAAGTATCGGTCGTCAGAGTATTGACGGAATTGTCTAATAATTCAGTGGACAGTACTGTGGAAGCGTTGAAAGTGATTGACATTCAATTCTTGATAGAAATGCTGAGCGAATCGTTTGATGAGCAGAATATAACTGCCATTCAATTGAATGTTCAGACATTAATTGAATCGTTGAGTGGTTTTTGTGCCAAAGAAGACAAGAAACCGGATAAAGAGTTACTGAAAGCAAACGAAACACAAATCAATGCTATAATGTCTTCACTCGTGAAGAGCTCAGTGCTACGGATGATGTCCGCCAAGAGTCGAGACGCTATACTGGAGCTGTTGATCACAAACGTTGACTACTCTGCTCTCGATTGGGGCCAGAGATTGGTAGAAATGGACGGACTCTGGAATCTTCTGGAGATCGCGTCGGAACTCGAAGAAGTGAGATATGAGAGCGGAATGAATATCACGTCAAACACTCGAACCCATGTGTCGCTGCTCTTAGACCGGGTTTACTTGAGTGCCAACAGCGATGCCAACAGAGAGACATTCAGAGAGAAAGTGATGCACTTTATTAACTCCAAACTCAAAGGTATGGACATTGAAGACAAAGTGCGCGCCACCGCCACCATCACTGCCTTATTGATGGGACCCCTGGATGTGGGCAATCATTGCTTGGGTCAGATGGGAGTCATGGAAATGATGTTAGTTATGGCCGGTTCTGATGATGTGGTGCAGCAATGCGTGGCCGCCGAAGCCATCATTGCCGCCGCTTCTAAGAAGGATAAGTGTAAAAGTCTGGCCTCAATGGGCGCACCCATACTCAAGAATCTATACAAAGCGTCCAACGATCGCATTAAAGTTAGGGCACTGGTAGGTCTCTGTAAATTGGGTTCAGTTGGAGGCACTGATGCTTCAGTCCGAACATTCTCTGACGGCTCCACATCTAAGCTCTCGAAAGCCTGTCGACAGTTCCTCATCAACCCATCAAAGGATAAGGATATGAAGAAATGGTCGGCCGAAGGGTTGGCATATTTGACACTTAATGCAGAGATTAAAGAAGAGTTAATTGAAGACAAAGAAGCCATCAGTGCTTTGGTTGAAATGTCCCGAAATGGTGACCTATCGGTGCTGTTCGGAGTTGTGACCACTTTTGTTAATCTGACGAACAGTTATGAGAAGCAGGAAGTGTTGCCTGAAATGATAGAATTGGCGAAATTCGCGAAACAACACGTCCCCGAAGATCACCCCAAAGATGATAAGGAATTCATCGACAAAAGGTGTCGAATGTTGTGTGAACTGCAAATCGTGACCGCTTTGGTCGCGTTGACTAAATCCCAGAGCAAAACGAGTCGCGAAATGATTTCCCGCGTGTTTAACGCCATTTGCGAACTCCAAGAAGTGCGGGGACTTGTCGTACAACAGGGAGGCGTCAAAGCGTTGCTTAAGTTAGCGCTTGAGAACAATACACAAAACGGCAAAAACCTGTCGAGTCAGGCGTTGGCCAGAATCGGCATAACTATCAATCCCGAGGTTTCCTTTCCGGGTCAGAGGTGTCTGGAAGTGGTTCGGCCTCTCATTAATATCTTACACCCGGACTGTACTGCTCTACAGAATTTTGAGTCACTCATGGCTTTGACAAACTTAGCGCAGATCAGTGCGAGTGTGAGGTCGAGGATTATCAAAGATAGCGGATTCTCGCGAATCGAGAACTACATGTATGAGGAGCACCCTATGCTCAAGCGAGCGGCCACTCAATGTTTGGCGAATCTGATTGTTAGCGACGAGACCGTGAAGCTGTATGAGGGGGACAACGATCGGGTCAAGTATTTGGTGATTCTGTGCGAAGATGAGGACTTGGATACCGTGAGAGCAGCGTCCGGTGCCTTAGCTATGCTCACAGCTGTTAGTAAGAAGTCGTGCCAAAAGGTGTTTGACGCCAAGTGTTGGCTCGAGTGTCTCATTCAGTTGACGTCCACTAAGGACGCGGATCTCCAGCACAGAGGCCTTTGTGTTGTTTACAATCTGATTGATTCTGGCAATGAATGCGCTGAGAAAATAGTAGAAACACAAATATTTGAGATACTTGTGGCTATCACTCGACCAGAAGTGGATGATATCGACGATAAAATCAAAGATATCGCCAGAACTGCTCTAAAGAGGGCTGAAGAACAGCAACTGATTAAAAACATTGAAAACTTGAAAACCGAATAAATGAACCGTTGATTAGATTTAGAGTTTGATAAAAGCCTAAACCCTGTTTACAGTATTTTGAAACAATCTTAATTACAAATTCATTGTGACATCAATTTACACTAGAATTTACATTTATGTCCCTTTAATATACAATTATTTATTTGTTACTGTATTTAAAAAGAAATTAAAATTAAATGTTCTTAAGAAGTTTGGTCTATAATTCATTGAACACTTTATTTACGAAACAAATATTAAAAGTTTGCTTTGTTCCGGAAACATCAAGTTTATGATAAACTTATCACTTTTATAAAATATGATTTTTGTGTTTGAGTTATTAATTCTAATCACAATTAAAAGTTTAATTAAGATAACTGTCCAACATTTCAAATACGATAATGAACTTTGAGGTGCAAACAAGTTTGGAGGTCAGTGCTAAAAATGATTGCAAATAAGTTGCCAAAACTCTTTCGTTGAACGAAACCTATAAAAAAGGGAAACTTTCGTTGACCTAAAGTAATAGAAAAGGAATTTTCAAACAAAAATGACTTTTAAATTGATTGTCACTCTAATGGGTAAGCAATTTATTATATCACTAAAAGATGATTAAAAATGAAATGGTATTCTAACTTATTAACTGTTTTAGTTGTATTGGCGTCTGAAGCCATCAGTGGTACCCACCATGAAGTTCACACTTCATTCGGTGTCTCCCATGGTTCACAGATTCCCAGACATTTGCTGTACGACGGCTTCCGATTCCAGCCCTTCCCACAAACTTTCCAAACATTTAGCGCCGGAGCACCTGTGAGTGTCTTCACGAATGTGGCTCCTGTGCAGCAAATCATTCCTCAGCATTTACTCACTGGGTGGAGATCTTCACAATATCCGCATACCATTCCCAGCCATTTGATCTCTTTGACACAGCCGGCACCGGCATTGATCCCATTCACGGTTCAACAACCAGAATCTGTGGCACAACCGTTGGTCCAACCGATCCAGACATTCACGCGAACACAACTGGTATCTCCCGCAGTAAAGGGAAGGACACAAATTGTTCAAAATGTTCCTGTAGCACCATTAGCTCCAGTAGTCTCACAGCCAGCACCGGAACCCCTACCGGTTTCAGTTGTTTCTCAGAGAGAATCACTGCCTCTGACTACTTCTAACGCATTTACGACCCAAACCCTAACCAACACTCAAACCTTTAGTAACAGTCCGTTTCAGACATCAACCAAACCATTGAATTTTGCTCCCAATTTGCCTGAAGTTCAAAATGTCCAGCAGTTTGTCAATCTGTCAGACAATACATTCAAACAGACATCGACTCCGCAACAGTTCCAACAAACGCTTCAGACGTCAGATCAGTTGGTGAGCAACACATTGCCTGAGACACCGACCACTCGACACCAATCGGTCACTCAAACTATGGGCCAAACATTCACTCAACCCATTGCTCACACTCTGTCTCAACCCGTGTTCACCACTCAAGTGTTCACAACTCAGGGACAGCCCCTAACCACTCAAGCGGTAGAGCCGACTCACATCCAGAGCTCGTCCACTACTTTCAACCCTTAAGTTTCAAGTTTTCAAACTAATGTCTAATTTGAATACAAATTTCAATTTTATATTTTGAAACTATTTTTAATAAAAAAGATTTGAATTTATATTTTATTGAATCGCAAATGAATTGCTTTCTTATGAGTAATGAAGGCATGAATAACACAAACGACTAGTGAATCCATTGAATCAATCAATCGGTTAAAGCGATCAGCGCTTCGACAACACTTCCGGCGCACTCCCGGAGCTTCAGCTCAGCCGTCGTCCGCGGGATCTCCATCTCTTTCATCTGCAATACAAACACACCGTTAGTCCGCACATCACCGCAACTATCACTCAATTGGTCTCACAATGAGCTCGACGTCGTCTTTATTGATCACCACTTTCGCCAATTCCCTCATTCGGGCCACTCTTTCGGCCGTCTCTTTGGATCGTTTGTCGTCAAAGAGAGACATCGCCTGAGAGGCAGACAATCAGACAATGAGATGAATTGATGGTACGAGTGGTGACATGCGGTCATGACTTACATCTGCGATGTCCTGCGACGAGATCTCTCTCTCCTCCTCGAAGTCGGTCACCTTCTCGAGGTCTGCGGCCCCGGAGTCATGTTTGGCGACCTTCTTGGCCACCGGTCGCACGTCATCCACATCTGGCGTCTCCTCCACGCCGTTCACCTTTTCATTCACCTCTTCAGACATTATTCTTCGACTTCTCTTAAATAAAATGTCATAAAAACTAAATAACAAAAAAAATGTGCAAAAAGTGTACAAAAAATGTTTGATTTTCTCATAAAAAAGACATTCAATTGTAATCAAAACAAACGTTTCGCTGAGAAATGCACTCAAAATTCATGTGTTTTTCGCGTTAATTGTCGCAAAAATCGTTACGTAATTCATATGAATCTCATTCGCGAAAAGCAAACGTGTATTCAATACATGCCATCAATGATGACATCCATTGCACACGTATGAAGCGCTCAAAACCATATGGACTCACAAACAGGGTTTGCACTCAATCCTCACTTTTTATACACACTTTATTCAACATTTTCACCGCATTTGCACACATTTCGGTGCACCCCCTGTCCCCCTCTCACTCACTATCCGCTTATTAGGCAAATATAACACTTAATAGACAATTGATTCATAGATTAGTTTATTATAGTTTTGAAAATCTAATGAAAAATATGTCAAAAAAGTTGACAAACAATGAGTTTGATGTCTGACCGCATGGTTGGCCCCAAAGCGCACCCAAAATGACACGTTGTTTATGAGAGTGAGGAGTGAAAGCAGCGATAAATCTGTTCATTGAGTGTATATTTTGTCCATTTGTTCATAAGATATATGATTTGATGGAAAGCATGGCTACGACTTCAGGCAAGTCTTCATTACCACTCTTTGTCTTCCGGTTATCCACTGCGAGGGACGCACTCCTCTCTCGCGGAAACCATTGTCTCGATCACTGAAATGACACAATAGTGTGTTCAGCGATGTCTCTCAACGCAAGTGTTTGAGACAATTGGTGGCAATAATCGGCGCAAAAGTTTTGAAACAAATTGGTTGTAATAAATGGTTTACTGATTGACAGGAAAGGGAAAGAAGGGAAAGGGAACGAAAGCGAAGGCCATTCCGCTGTCGATGTTTGTGGCGGACGACTCATCGGCGCCCCAGGGATTCAATGTGGTCCACACACACAAACCCAAACTCGATTGGGCCGCAGAGGTGGACGACCAGGACTTGGACGGTAGGCCACCACGAGTGCCACTCCACTGACTAACACTGTGTTTGTCTGCCGTATAGATAAGTTCACCCTTAACTACAAGAGGGTGGACACCTCCAAAGTATTACTGCCGTCGGCGCCGAAGTCGACGCGCGGACCCGACATCGACATGGAACGGGTGCCGGCGGACCCCCCCTTCAAAGCCTATTTAGGAAACCTTCCGTACGATGTGACCGAACAGGAGATCACCAGATATTTCGGAAAACTTAGTGTATTATCCATTGTTTGACGCATGGATTGAATGCTTTGATTTAACATTGATTTGCATCCAAACAGATAATAGACGTCCGTTTGCCTCAACTTAACGGACGACAGCGAGGGTTCGCTTACGCGGAGTTTGAGACCAGAGAGTCACTGATCGACGCCCTCACGAAGAATGGAGACATGTTTCGGAACCGACAGCTCAAAGTCGGACTTCCCGGAGACAACGCCGGTTCGGCTGACATTTAGTTTGAATGAAATTGTGTTTTAATTGACTAATTATTTGGCAGAAAATAATACCCGCGAAGGCCGACCAGTAAGGGAGGAACGACAGGACAGGACTGCCGGCGACTGGAGGTCCGGTTCAGGGCCGACACGACCGGAAGAGCCACGCGATTCCGGTCGAGACAACTATAGAAACGGTTTCGACGACAGGCGCTCCCAAAGAGAGCCCTCCGAACGAACGAGTTTTGGCCGATCGTCGGACGGCGGCGAGCGCTCGTTCAGACCATCCAATACACGGAACGATAGGGACAGACATTTCGAGCCCTACGACAACAGTAATAGTTATTCAAACGATGGGTTCAGTCGATCTCATGATCGCGATTACGAGCGACCGAACAATCGTTACGGAAATCGCGACAATTACGGCGAATCCAACGATCGATCCTATGGTCGACGCTATGAAGACTCCGGAAGCAGATATTCGGAGAGGAGTGACGACAGGAGACAATTTGGACGCGATTTCGATAGGAATCGAAGGGATGGTCCGACTCGTGATTACGAATCGCGCAATAATTCTTCGCCGCCTCCGAGTCGGGACTCACACGAAGAGTCGTCTTCGCGACCGCAAGAGAGACAGAAACTGCAATTAAAGCCGCGAACGAAACCCATTACTGAGAACAACGACAATGTGACCAATTCTGCGATATTCGGCGGCGCAAAGCCTGTAAATACAGCCGCCAGGGAACAGGAGATTGAAAAGAAACTCCTCAAAGAGAGGGAAGAGTCCGACAAGAAGTTGGAGACCAGCGGCGAGGGTCGCACCCGACGCATCAGTTCCAGTAGTAATGTGAGCGCCAATTCGCGCTCTCGAAAGGGCTCGGATTCCGGTCCCAATTCGCGCGATTTGGACGATAGCCGCGGCAGTGGACGGCGTCCGAGGAAGACGAGTGAAAGGGACAGGAATTCCGGTTCAGACAGTGGACCCAAATATACTCTGATGACTCGCGGTGGCAGAGATGGCAACGACTCATCCCATGCGGGCTCTCGGTTCACACCATCGCGCGGAGATCGAGGAGACAGAGGAAGCGACAGCAGGGGTTCGTATAATAGAGGAAACGGTGGACCAAATCGTAATAACAATAACAATAATCGCGGCAAAGATCGGCACACAGACGGTGACAGTTACGACTCGTATGACAAACCCCCGCGAATGAACCAAAACAACCAGAGGTATGAAGAGGAGGGCGACCGCAAACCACAGGTGAGATACAGTAGTGTTGGTGTGTATTGGGAAGTGAGTGACTAATTGCTTGATGTGTTTGAAGGCTATCATAAGTTCTAACAAATTCGCACATTTGGATACTGAAGACCACGATGAAGATGATGTCCCCAACCCTTCCGACTAAACCGTCGATATATTCACTGACTTTTTCTGAATTTTGAGAGCAAAACACAATTATATTGAATGTAATGTTTTTTCTCGTGATTTCTTTTACTGCAAAACTGTTTATAATTTTTCGGTTTTCTTTTCAGTTTTTCATTATATTGAGAATATATTTAATGATTTAATGATATTATATTTGAATATTGATTGATATATTTTGAAATATTAGGCATTTTTGTTCTTTTGTTAAACTAATTTAATATTATTAGGCCATTGTGTAAACCATTTGTCAAATATTCTCTGATATTTACGGCTAATTATTTTAATAGAATTTTTAAGAGTACAGTATATACAATACTATTGAGAGCTAATAATCGACTTTTTAATTAATTGTAAATTATTTGACTATTTCTTTGTATAACAAAGACATCTGTTGTAAACAATTGATTGCATGAATAGAAGTGAATTGATTATAAATAGCCATTTGATTGGAGTGATGGCACCGTTGGCCAAATACATGTATTTTAGTGGCAAAAGCACTCTACCTTTTTATCTGATTATTATATTATTATTATTTTCCAAATTTCTATTATGTATTATAATTTTTAAATCAATACATAATAATAATAATAAAAATTATATATTCAACAGTTTTATTATAAATATAGTGGCATTTATTTCATTAATTTAATAATTATTAAAATATTCAGTTCTGACTTAATATATAATTTAATAAAAAGGCTGTTTCATTGGCTAACACTAACAGCACATTTAGTGAACAAAATGAGGAATTCTGTCATTTTTAAAAATATAATTTATAATTTCATTATTCATAATATGTCTATATATTGATATCTAATTGAATCACACAATCATAAACTGATTATAAACTGAATTTGATTCGTTTGTTAAGAGGAGGAGTTTGAGTCAATTTATTGAAATCAAATTTCCTCTTCACCACTGAATTCCTCTTCCATTTCGACGAATTGATTATATTTCCAAACATTTGGTTCTGTTTAGTGCCGCTAACCATAGCTGGATTACAAAGAGTCTCTACGAGACCAGTGCCCACAACAGAGGGCCGGCCAACCACTATACGCGCCGATGGAGACGACAAATCATCGCTCAATCCTTCATTCAATTAATGTTAGTACAATTCAAACGCATATATTATGTCATATTTACCGATAAGAGTGGCGTTCTTCAGGAAATTGGTGGTCGTTTCGAAGGTCATGGCCTGAATAGGGGCCACGCCATCCATGGACTGTCTGTTCATTCCTTTGATTTGTCCGCTGAATGTCATGTAATCGGATATTAAAGACAGATGTCTTGAATCGACATGAATGCCATAAACTGCGAACACGTTAGAGATCTCGCGCTGAATAGCCTGAGCGCCGGCTTCGATGCCATACGTGTTGGCGATGACGTGGATGTCATTGGAGTAAATCCTGTTGATGTCGAAAATGTGGTCGTAAGCAAAGATCTCGTGAATACCGATGCCTTCCGTTTTGAGAAGTTTGCCGAAAGTGGCGCCACGTTTGGCCGCATTGTTGTCTTTGACAAGGAAGGCGCGCTCTATTTTGCCGATCTTATGGATATAGGTTTTGTGGGCCTCCTCCTCAATGATTGAAGTCATGTCCAGTTTTGTGTTCTTTATCTCGTATTTGAGAGTCACTTCACACCACTCCTCATGCTTTGTGTCGAAGTCATAGTCAGCGATAGTTTGGCTCACGTTTTTCACTTTGTTTTGTCGCATCAGTCGCTGAGCCTTCAGTTCCGCCCGTTTGGCACTCTTTTGTCTCTTTTGCTCTTTTCTGTGACTAATTCGGTCTTCGACTGGATTTTCAGAGATTTGTTCGGAGCTATCGTTCAGTTCAATGTCGCCGTCATTCACGGGTTCGGTCGCTATTTCCTCGACATCTGAATCCTCTATCACTTGAATCTCTTCATCGTCTGGTTCTTCGTACTCCTGTTCCTGATTGTGTCGAGTTTTGTTGCGCTGAGCAGTGGTGTCGCCGTCGTCTTGACCCACATCTTCATCATCAGAACTCATGGGTTCTTCGTCGTCATTACGGTTCACATTATTGCCATCAAACGCATCGTTTGAATCCTCGTTCTCTTCGGATTCAGCTTTTTTTGCTTTGCTTTTGGCTGTAGTTCTGCCTCTATTTGAGTTATCAAACAATCCATGAGTTTTCGATAGAATTGTTTCCCTTTTTTGGATCACATCTATGAGTTGCTTAAAGAACTTATTTTCCATAAATCGCAAAATAAACGGTGGATTTGTATAGCATTTGTGTTTATAGAGACTTTTAGGCAAAAACTGAAACTTTAAGTGATATACGCGCCAACGCTTAGTATCTTCGATGGCAAGTGTTTCGGTCACGTCTACGAACTCGAGGACATCACTCAGTCTGACTGAAGTCAGCTTTAGTCGCATTCGTTCCGCTTCTGCGTCGATGTCTCCCTCAAAGTTGTTCACAAAAGGTATGTCTAGACTGGGAGTCGCGATCTTAGGGCTGGCAGTCATCAAGATTTCTCTGAGCCGAGGAATTCCAAGCGTCACGTTCATCTCACCTCTTCCAGCGAAGTGAAAGGTATTGAGCGTCATCTGAGTGGAGGGCTCTCCCACTGATTGAGCCGCTAATAGTCCCACTGCTTCTCCCGGTTCGCACAAACTCTTCATATAATACGAGTTCATTGTTCTCTTGTATTCTGTCGACGAAATGCTGAGCGGTTCCAAAGAGTTGTTTAAAAGGTTGTCCGCATTTTGAGAAATATATTTATTTATAATAGAATCCAAGCGCTCACTAATTGATCCAAAGTTAATATCGGGGCGGAAAACACTAGTGACCGGATCGGGACAGGGCTTGCCCTCAAATATATAGCGGTTATACTTCTTACGGTTTCCACTTAATGCCGACCACTTTGTGATCAAATCTGCTTTTGAATATTTTTGACTTTTTTGTGCCGAAAACGCCAGAAAAGGAGATCTCCTCTCTTTGAGTCTAAATGTGTTGTCATTTTCACTCAACCAGTGCTCTATTTGCTGCTGATATGCAAACATATTTTTATCCGATATATTGTTCAATATTTCTATTTCTTTAGGCGTCGGACGTAAGGCATCGTTGTTTTGGATCACAATAGGAATGACTTTCTCTTTTAACATTTGACTCTTAAGGATATCGAGACCGTCTCCTCCGTAGAGTAACTGAACAACACTTCCTTCACTGTCTCTTACAGTCATATCGTAGTTAACTACCAGTCCTTCGAGATGTTTAATGAGACATCTTTGCAGATATCCAGAACGGGATGTCTTGACTGCAGTATCGATCAGACCTTCTCTTCCGGCCATACAATGAAAGAAGAACTCTTGCGGACGAATACCAGTCATAAAGCGTTGTGCGACAAACCCTCCCGCTCTGGGCTCTGTCTCGTAGGGTCTGAATGAGGGTAAAGATCTTCCGGACATCATTAGAGGCACTCTTCGGCCTTCTAACTCGATTTGACCCAAAAGGCAAGAGATCTGAATGGCGTTCACTGAGCCTCCCTTAGCCCCCGCCTGTATCATCATTTGCAGGTTATTGTATGGAAACTGTTTGACCAGTCCTTTGGGTAAACAGTGTTCTGTTATTTTATTATTGAGTTCATCCGTCTGTCCTTTCATGCATTTGTCTAACTGTTTCATATAGAAGTCATTTGGGTTCGTGTGAGCGCTCTTCAGTTTGTCTAACAGCACGTCGTTGTCGTCGTCCTCCTTGAGACCCATAGCCTCTGCGGCAGCATTTCTGCCCATTTTCACCGATCGCTTAATAACTCGTTGTCGTCTGGCGTTTGGTTTATCCTCAACAAGGATGTCGTGAATGCCTAAAGTGAAACCGCTGTGTATTTGCAGATAATTAGTGCACAAACGGGCGAAACTAGTGAGTAGTGCCGATGAGGTCGGGCCGCCATAGAGTTCATAACAACAGTGGATGAGTCCGTAAGGATTTGGACCCAAATTCACTTTATCTATAACACCGCACAGCAGCTCTCCTTTCCTTATAATCACATGACTCTCACACATGTCTGTCAACTGTAAGGGTGTTCCGCCTGCAGTCCACATTCTCGGGCGCACTCTCTGCAATATTTTTGGATTTAGTTTACTGGGGATCGAAAGGGTGGGCAATGGTTTGCCTTCTGGCACTAAATTCATAATAATTGTGGTAATGATTTGCTTTCCAGACCACAGCCGTTTGGGTTTAATGATGGCCGGGGCCACCAATTTGAGCGGTTTGTTGAGGAATGAAAGCGCGCCGTAAAGTAATTCCTGAAAGTCTCCTTTCGTGAAGAACTGACCTCTTATTGTGAGCCAAACGCCGCCAATGATGTGATCCTGAATGAGACCACTCAATGGGGTGCCGTCTTTGGGCACAAGGAATTGGAAGTTAACGCTCGCTATGTTGTAGGCCTCGGCGCGGGCCAACTCGCTCTGAGGGAAGTGGGCGTTCATTTCGTCGCCGTCAAAGTCGGCGTTATAACACTTGCAGTTCGCGTAGTGAAGGCGTAATGTTTTCTCCTTTGGAAGCACTCGTGCCTTATGTGCCATAATTGACGGCTTGTGTAGTGTTGGCTGACGATTGAGTAGCAATGCGTCGCCCGACAAGAGATGTCGGTTCACAACACGAATATCTCTATCATTGAAGTAATGTTTGGGAACCTTTAGGCGATCGGCCAAACTCTTGCGTAAAGCAGAGTCCGTGGGAGAGAGTCGCACAGTCCGGCCGCCTTCGTAGGTCACCGATAGAGCGCCGGGATATATGTCGGGCCCATTCATTATCATTTGCCTCAACTGTTCAATATTATGGTTGTTGACGGGCTGTGGGTACGAGAGTTTTGTGGCGAAAACCATCGGAACTCCAATTTCGTCGACCATTATGTAAGGATCGGGTGATATGACAGACCGCGCGGCATAATTCACTCGCTTTCCCATCATATGCTTCCGGAAGAGCCCCTCTTTCTTCTCTAATATCTGCTTAACTCCCGTCGCCTTATTGTCCGGTAATTTATCCATATCCGAGTCATACAAACGATTGCATAGAAGTTGCAGTTTTTGCCAACTCATGTGAAACTTCGCCACGTCTTTGATCCGATCTTTCGGTCCATTGGGAGGCGCAGAGGACGTGGACGGACTGCTGTCGTCGATTGGCAGGCCTTTTGCCTGACGAAAGGCAGTGTCCAACACATCCGAAGCCATTATGATTTGACTCATAGCACTGGTCTGTTCGCCTTCAAACTGTCGACCGTGCATGTGATGTAAGGGTCGGAACCGATTGGGAGGCACTGTAATGGTGTCCACAAAGAACACATCTATTGGTGTCGAGTCTCCAGTACACGACACGTCGGGCCTCAGGAATGGGAATATTCTGTGAAGCGATTCCTTCTCATTGGCCCAAAGGGCGCGCAAATGACTTCTGGCCATAAGTGGAGTCAAATGTGATTTGCCTTTCGCTCCGCTCATATCCATTGGGTTCATGTCTTCTATTTGTTCCGCACTTTCACTGCCAATATGTTTGGGCTTTCGGTTCACCTTAGCTTTGGACGCATTCATCACAATCAACGCATTGTTGAGTACAGTTAAGCCCTGTTTATGAGCCGCGCACTGAAGACACTTCTTACTCGGCTTCAGAAGCCTTCCGCCCATAAAGTCTTTGTACATAATCTGCTGTTTCTCCACAATATTCTTCACATTTAGATTACTTTTCGCCGATTTGGTGACCCTTTTGTTGAACTCTTCGTCAATCCTTTCCCTTAACTTCCGGCGCACATGTAGTCTGATTTCAGCCGCACCTACAGTGCTATCGCTGTCGTTCGTCAGTTGAGACCCATATTCTGCTAAGTCTTCGACTATGATATCGAGACCACGACTTAACGCTTCCAATTGCGCGATCTTTATCTCCAAATCGGTCGACGAGAACAGGAGATAATGGCAATCGAAACAACACATCTTCAGTAACTGTTGGCACAGATAAACCAATTGTGAGTGAATGGTGTCAATGAGTTAACCACTACTCAGACCTGAAATAACTGTTTGATGAGGAATGGGTTGAAGACAGGAAGCGCCAGATTTATGTGTCCGTAATGTCCGCAACACTCAAACTCCGAGAGACCGCACGTCACACACGACTCACTTCTTTTGGTGGGACCTATCGGGCGAGACATACAGACATCACTCACCACTCAATGGGTCCATCAATGGCTATGCAATGGATTACCGAAAACCGAGTCGTATAGGCCTCCGACCTGCGGCTGATCCCCTTCATCGAAGGACTTCCACTTCTCTACGTGTAAGACACTCAACCTCTTCACCTCATCCTTACCGATGATGCCGAACGACACACCAGTGATCTGGCTGTTGATGGCTCTGTTCATTGCGTTCACACCACAAACCAATTCACCATAAGTTCAATGCAATCGCCAAAGAAGTAGACATCGATTGCCGAGACATGTGTTTGGCGTTGAGTTCGCGTCACGTGATTGTGATTACTGTCTGTGAACCAAAACACGATCTCTTCGAACAATGTATTGTTCAAAAGCAATGTAAGTCAGGGTCTTATCAATCAGTGCGTTATGTGTATTGAGTTTTGGTAAAGGGATTCGTGAATACATTATATAACGTGACGTTATTTGCGAAAGCATTTCATAATTGAAAAGCAATTTAATTAAAAAGAGTGTAGAAGTGAACCATTGGTTCGTATGGCGAATGTCTGCAAGGAATGCGCGGCCATTGTATGCGTTTTGGCGATTGTGCGCACACTCTGACTGGTGTCGAGCAGTAGTGGTCTTATTGTTGAACGAAAAGTGCATTTCATTTGCATTTGACATCAAAATCGCATTCAATTTGACAAACAATTTGTTGATCCAATCGACACCCGAAGAGACCATCGATTGCGTGAATCCGTGCGAATCAGACATCTTGTGACGTGATGGCGGACTACGAGGACGAGATGGATGTGGAGGGAAACAACGGAGAGGTGAACAGCACTGAACTGCCGTCCTCTTCGACGCAGGCAGTGGTCGGACGGAAGCGGTTTGAGGTGAAGAAGTGGTCGGCGGTGGCGCTGTGGGCCTGGGATATAGTTGTGGACAACTGTGCCATTTGTCGCAACCATATACGTCGTTGTCGTCGTCCTCCGAGAGACCCATAGCCTCTGCGGCAGCATTTCTGCCCATTTTCACCGATCGCTTAATAACTCGTTGTCGTCTGGCGTTTGGTTTATCCTCAACAAGGATGTCGTGAATTCCTAAAGTGAAACCGCTGTGTATTTGCAGATAATTAGTGCACAAACGGGCGAAACTAGTGAGTAGTGCCGATGAGGTGGGGCCGCCATAGAGTTCATAACAACAGTGGATGAGTCCGTAAGGATTTGGACCCAAATTCACTTTATCTATAACACCGCACAGTAGCTCCCCTTTCCTTATAATCACATGACTCTCACACATGTCTGTCAACTGTAAGGGTGTTCCGCCTGCAGTCCACATTCTCGGGCGCACTCTTTGCAATATTTTTGGATTTAGTTTACTGGGGATCGAAAGGGTGGGCAATGGTTTGCCTTCTGGCACTAAATTCATAATAATTGTGGTAATGATTTGCTTTCCAGACCACAGCCGTTTGGGTTTAATGATGGCCGGGGCCACTAATTTGAGCGGTTTGTTGAGGAATGAAAGCGCGCCGTAAAGTAATTCCTGAAAGTCTCCTTTCGTGAAGAACTGACCTCTTATTGTGAGCCAAACGCCGCCAATGATGTGATCCTGAATGAGACCACTCAACGGCGTGCCGTCTTTGGGCACAAGGAATTGGAAGTTAACGCTCGCTATGTTGTAGGCCTCGGCGCGGGCCAACTCGCTCTGAGGGNAGTGGGCGTTCATTTCGTCGCCGTCAAAGTCGGCGTTATAACACTTGCAGTTCGCGTAGTGAAGGCGTAATGTTTTCTCCTTTGGAAGCACTCGTGCCTTATGTGCCATAATTGACGGCTTGTGTAGCGTTGGCTGACGATTGAGTAGCAATGCGTCGCCCGACAAGAGATGTCGGTTCACAACACGAATATCTCGATCATTGAAGTAATGTTTGGGAACCTTTAGGCGATCGGCCAAACTCTTGCGTAAAGCAGAGTCCGTGGGAGAGAGTCGCACAGTCCGCCCGCCTTCGTAGGTCACCGATAGAGCGCCGGGATATATGTCCGGCCCATTCATTATCATTTGCCTCAACTGTTCAATATTATGGTTGTTGACGGGCTGTGGGTACGAGAGTTTTGTGGCAAAAACCATCGGAACTCCAATTTCGTCGACCATTATGTAAGGATCGGGTGATATGACAGACCGCGCGGCATAATTCACTCGCTTTCCCATCATATGCTTCCGGAAGAGCCCCTCTTTCTTCTCTAATA